ATATGTGTGTGTGTGTGTGTGTATACGTATACATATTTATATATACATCCCAGGGAATTTTTTTTCCACTACCCAACATTTGCTAACTGTGGTTTTTAATGGGTTTAAACCGTGGTTTATCTCGGTTTATCCTCGGCGTCTTCTATTTTATAGTATTTCTCACCTGATGAGCCAATTTCACCACATGGACCGTCTCTATTCCAAATATTGGTAGAAAAATTCAAACCTGTAGTAAGTACATAATCTGGATCGGTTCGGTGCCTGGTAGTTCTACAGGAAGTAACTGGCACTTCCTTTTCCAAGTAGAAGCACGTGCCACAGAAGCCTTAGTCCAAATTGTAGAATGACAAGAATTTATTTACTAATTTTAGAATACAGAGTGAAAAAGAGAGTGCACGTTCCTCCCTGCAGAACTGCAAAGGTACCGTACCAGATTATGGACTTTCTCATAGACTTCTAAATTAGAACAGAATGCTAAGACGCCCTTCAGGTTTGAGCTATATGTATAATATATATATATATATATATAAGGAATGGAGAAGGTCCATTTGGTGAAATGACAGGCCTTGGTACAATACAGTGGCTGTAGAATGCAGATATCTCATCCTTGTTTGTGTTGTGTATTCAATCCAATCCCATAACAGTACATATGAGCTCAGAAACTGCTCAAGTGGCCCGGGTGTAAGATCGCCGATAACACTTGGTCACGCATCTGAGTGGGGTGGATCCTAATTGTCTGTCGAATATGACGAGACCAAGCAACTACTTAGGAGCGAAGGCAAATGGGTCAGGAGATAGGACAGGTAGAATACCATCGGGGCAAAGCAACTCCTTACGAGGGGCTGTAAATGAGTCTGGAGTTAGGCCGGATAAACCACAACCGAGAGCTTGATCATTAAAGAGATTTGGACTGTTGCACATGGCTGTGGGCGTCGCGCGTGGTCTCACACCTGTGTGACGTTCGAGTGTGTGTGAGAGAGAGATAGAAATAGGGATGTATATGCACGGTACATTCTCCTGCTGTGTACGCTCTGAAGTGTAAAGGGCCTTCTATTGTATGAGCACATCACACACATCACACCAGATTGAGAGAGATATATAGACTATGAACACATCACACCAGAGTGTGAGCGATATATATATGTATATACTATGAACACATCACACACATCACACCAGATTGTGAACGAGATATATATATAGACTATGAGCACATAATACACATCACACCAGATTGTAAGAGAGAGATATATAGACTATGAACACATCACACACATCACACCAGATTGTGAACGAGATATATATATAGACTATGAGCACATAATACACATCACACCAGAGTGTGAGAGAGAGATATAGACTATGAATACATCACACACATCACACCAGATTATGTGAGAGAGATATGTATAGACTATGAACACACCACACCAGAGTGTGTGTGAGATATATATAGACTATGAATACTTCACACACATCACACCAGATTGTAAGAGAGAGATATATAGACTATGAACACATCACACACATCACACCAGAGTGTGTGTGAGATATATATAGACAATGAACACATCACACACATCACACCAGAGTGTGTGAGAGATATGTAGACTATGAACACATCACACACATTACACCAGAGTGTGTGTGAGAGAGATATAGACTATGAACATATCACACACACCACACTAGAGACACATGGGCAGGTTTTATGCTATAAGGTTGTAGGGTTTTGAATCATAGTTGCATTTCCATCGGGGCTGGGCATTCGTTTGCTTGCCTACTTCGCCATCCGCCTTGGCAAGCGATTATAGACCACTTTCAATTCCTGCTCTGCTTTCAGGTGGTAAAGCATGGGCGAGCCTGTGTATACATATGTGTGTACAATTTGTGTACATGTGTGTTTACATGTGTGTGTACATGTTTGTATACACAGTCTACAGGTTTACTATGGAATACACAGGGGGAATGAAATACCGAGCGTGTCGAACTAAGGCCCTTCGACTCGACACGCATAAACTTTGTTCCGCTGTCTATCTGTGGCATTCTCGTCCACAGAGCAACACACCCCAGAGAAGCCTCTCTCTATACGTGCCTGGAATGTGCACCCCCTACCCAGTGCTTCTCCGATACTGTAGTGCGAAGCCCGTGCCTTGAGCTCTCATGTAGATGTTATGAATGGACCTACACTTGCCCTGTGGTGTATGAGGTACAAATGCGTGCTACTTCACTGGATACTACGCTGCAGCACATACAAATGCCATCATACTACTCATACATTATATATACATAGATCATATATATATGTATATATATACATAAATATATATATATATATATGTACAAAAAAATTATATATATATATATATATATATATATATATATATATATATATATATATATATATATATATATAT